GACTTAACGACTAAACAACAACAACAAGGCACTTGTTTCTTGTTTGTAATTAATTTACCTTTAAAATGGAAGGGCTGTCTGAGAAAATGACAACAGAAGCAGATTAATTTTGCTATTTAGAACAGGACTGGTTTACCTTCAGAGCTGCCTCCCTTCCAGGTAGATACTTTCGTTCAAGAAGAAATACAACATGTTGTGGCCTTTAGTGCTACTCATGTGGCAAGACTATCCATTCATCCCAACCTGCTTTGGATCTTCATGAAGGCATAGCGTAGATGCCCTTTTATCAGCAGCTGGTTCTAGTAAAAGGCACCAGCTTGGATTTTAAATTATTTTTTACAGGTACAGTGTGTATGTGTGCGTGGGGGAGTAGGTTGGGAGAAAAGAGAGCGAGACCAAAAGAGGCTTTACCTTGAATGTGATTTCTGCAAGGCAGCGGGTGCATTTGATGTAAAACCGGAAGATGGGAAGCCCCAAGTAAGATTCATTCTGGACCGTCTCCTTCCGGGCATTAAATTTTTTGCCCTTGTAAATGTATTCACCACACGTTTTGCACCTACAAGATTGAAAACATGATTCACAGATTTCACGAAGTGCAACTGCTCATTCTTCATCCGCTTACAGACCTTTTTAACCCTCATCATGGATGTTTATGTTACAACTTGCCATGCAAGCAAAATCTGTTTTCTATTGTTGGCAGACCCAAGTCCTGAGACATCAGCAGAACTGTAACGCTGAGGAAAGGAACAATCTCTATGTAAGAAGAACGTTAAGAAAACTTGTTTTCTTTTTAAAGTGTCTTTACCTGAATCTGATTTTTGAATGCAGGGAAGGATAAAAGAAAAGATGAACCAACCTCTCATGGTGGCTATGTGTCTGCATGACACACACTGATAGTTAAGTCAATCATGATTTACACATTAATTCAAAAATATGAACTAACCTCAATGGCTGGTTTTGCACAGCAGCCAGCTAGTTCATGCGTTATGCACATCCACCCAGAGTTTTAGGAATCAGATTCAATAACTGGGTTCAGGTATCACAATAAACCACAACACAGTTTATTTTTAGCTTAGGGCATGACATGAACCCAATCACTACCATCATGGTGGCTTATTCTAAACCATGGGTTAGCACAATGTGCAAACCAGGCTGTTTACTTTCTAGCAGGAAGCAGCTTTAACCTTGGAGTCCAGGTATCTGCCACATTCCTTTATGGTTAAACAGAATTAAAATCCCTGCCCCTCCATTCCTACAGAAGCATCCCAGGATATAACCGCCCAGAGTCGCTCTGCAGTGAGATGGGCAGTGACAAATTTGAAATATAAATAAATAAATATAACTATGGTGACCATACATCCTTCATTATAAAGGACAGTCCTTTATTTCAGAAAGCTTCCTTTAGATGTATTTATTTTTTTAAAACTCACTTTTGTCCTTTATTTTGTCCATTCCTTTTACTGTACAAATGATACCATTTCACAGTCTTTCCCATTCATGTGAAAAATGTGGAAACTGAACTGTCTTTTTAAAATAAATTTACATATACTATTTGATATTTTTATTGCAATGTGTTTTTGTAAATTTTTCTTGGTTTTGCTCTTGAATTTTCCTTTGTAAAGCAAAATCATAAACATAAACAATTCACATTTTTTATCCTTATGAACCTCTCTCAGATGTGCTCCTTTTTCAAGTCTGTCCTTTATTTTTTCCAAAAAAACACGGTCACTGTAGATATAACTCATCTCATAAGCTGAATATTCCCAAGAGAAACAGAATTCAAGCTTCTCTTACCGCATGTTAAAGGGAGCCATCAGCCGGACCACATATTGCCGGTCCTTTGGAAGTTTAAGCTTAGGGATTTTAGACGGATCGAAGTCTGGCGGGTAGTATTTCTAGAATGCCCAAAAATAAAAATGAAATTGAAATAAATGATCATCTGTTCATGCCAATTCATGAACACCAATAGCCTGGGCAGTCCCAAGACGCCAGGGGATCCCAGCCCATCTTTATTTAAATGGCTGATGAGTCCACTCCGGTCTCCCCTGCGTAGTTCGGCCTCTTTACAACAACCCTGCGAGGTAGACCGCCATCCCCATCCCAAGTTTGACTCTTTCTGAGCACCCACCCCACCGCCCCAGGCCTCCAACCGGCCCCAGCCCATGTTTTTCCGCCCCCTCCTTTTCACTCACATTTAACACTTTCCTCTCCGACATTTTGCCCCCTCGCGGTTGTAGCCGGTCGCCGCGAAACTCTCCCCAAACACCACCACTTCCAGAATTCCCAACTCGTCCCGCCTCCTTCGCTACTATTGGCTGTCACACGTCCGGGCGGAGCAAGATTCGCATCTCTATTGGCTTGTCTCGCGGTCTGTCAACAGCAAGCCCCACCCCAGTCGGCGCTCCATTTCTGCGTCTTTCACCCAGCGCCCCGCGTGCGTCTTTGTGTCACGTGGCTTGCCCTTCCCTAAAATACTCCGTTGGGGAAACAAAGCTCCGCCATTGCTAGTTCCGGGGCTGGAGGGTAGTGGGTTAGATTGAATGGAAGTTATTAAGGGCGTTTAATAAAGTATGCGTATGAAATATTCATTACCTTTATTAAATATTTAACTCTTTGAAATATTGAATGCTCTTTTTTAATTAAAAAGCGGAATTGCTTGGGGGTAAAGTTTATTAGGTGCCTGATACTGTTTCCACTAGCAGGATTAAATCCTAAAATAATTTTCGCTGCAACCTGTAGTTGCAGGTTGCAGCGAAAATAGTAATAATTATTATTATTTCTGCATGATCAAAACTTCCTCCCCTCCCTCCAGGACGTTGCTGAGTTTATCTTTTGTCTTTAAGGTGTATATATTGCCTTTCCAAACCACTTATCCTGAAATGGTTTATGAAGAGTTTTATTACAATTTGCATTTTCAAATGCAAACTAAAAACAGCCACCAAATGTAAGCATACAGTAGGTATAACGAGGAGACAGAGAAATGAAGACCATTAAACCAATTCTCTTATTAAATTTATTATACCACCAACTACCAAGTTTCTTTGGATTTTTAAGCATTTAAGGTATGATGGCCTCCAAGCACGTGCATTTTCATCCTTACCCAACAGAAAAGAAAAAAATGCTTCCGAGATGAAAAGTAGCAAAGACCAAAATGACCTTGAAAATATACACAGTTATTTTTTTCTGGCTGGGGACAAAATTTGTTTACAATAATATATTCTTGAATGAAGTCCTCACGGGCATTATACGTTCTTTCTTATCAGGAATACTATCTGAGTGTGTGCAGATTTCTCATTTTAAATGAGAAAAGTGTTTCTAAAATAAAAGTATTGAAAAGTAGAGCGCCCCTGAACTTTTTTTTTTTTTTAACCACAATAGGGGAGCCTTCTCTGAGATTATCAGATGCCCTGAATTTTTGCCTTACACAACCAAATGTCTAAGAGGGGAATTAGAGTAAAAAAACAAGTTTTTATAATATTTATATTTAGCAGCCTTCAACTGCTTCCAAACTTCATGTTTGGAAAGGGAGAATGATTTTGAGAAGGCAAAGTGATTTTTTTTTTCATTTTATAAAAAAAAAAAAAGACAAATAATAGTTCTATGCGCTGTGATTAAGCATACAGGTAGTGCTCATTTTGCAATCACAATTGGGACCAGTAACTTGGTCATTAAGTGAAGCGGTCACTAAGTGAAACCACAATTGTGCTTATGATCTGACTTCAGCTTTCCTTTGCTTTACAGACCTGCAAAGGTTGTAAATGTGCCCTTTGGTTGAGAAGTTCCTTTTTCATCACTGTCGTAACTGTGAAGGTCACTGAACGAGACAGTCACTAAACGAGGATGACCTATATCAGTTGCATCACTTTCCTGCACAAGAGCCAATGCAATCCCACACAGCATCAAGAGAAATTTAGTGTCAAAATCAGGAGAAGTTACTCTTGTTCTCTATTCTGATTGGTTAGATCACATCTAATTTATTGTCTTGAAGAAAAATCTGTAAGAGGGAACTTGTGAATTTATTTTCATCCCTATGATGACATATTTTCCTCTCCCTTTTCACTTGGCCCCACAGGGACAAGACAAGGTTTGTTTTCTCTACCCAAGCAGGACAACCCAGAGTAGATAAGTCTCCAAAATTTATGATGGGTTTGCAAAGCCAGGTCAAGCACAGATGGTTATATTCAGTCACATTCTATGGGTAAGACCCCAAAACAAAACAAAAAAATGTGTATTTATAATCAAGGCACAAGGAACTAAGGAAATGTAAAAACATGATTGGTTACAAAGAAGCCCAAAGAGAAAAATAGACACATCATGCTGCCCCTGTCAAATGCAAAGCCACGACTTCCCACTAATTCTGTCTGTCCGACCAACTGTCAGCTCTTCAAGGTAGACCAGACCAGGAAACCAAAGTTATGAATGCTAATACTTATTATAAGGTTGCAGTAACAGAACCTTGCAAGTCTGAATGCACCTTTCCCCTCCTTGCCTTTATCTTCGTGAGAACTAGGGAGGGTCTTGTTTGAGATGTTTTCTCATGTTACAGTCCTCCCCCGGATTTGCCAAATTTCTTTTATCTGACTGCTGTCTTGGTTGCGGCTCTCCCTCCTGTTCCTCAAGGTCATTCCTTCATCCCATTACATCAACTTCCTCTTGAAACCTAACCACTAATATAGAGTTAAAGCTATGCTTTGTGCTTGCTAATTAATGGTTGATATACTTAAAATTCTTACTATGCTCAGAATTACTTAAATTCTTCCACAGTCTCCAGTCCTGGGCACTCCATTTAGGAGAAGCACAAACTGGAGCATGTCCACAGAAGAGCAACCAAGATGAGAAGGGGCCAGGAAGGAAACCCTATGAAGAATAGATGTTGGGGATATTTATCCTGGAAAAAAGAAGACTGCTGGGAAGCAAGATGGAGATCTTCAAGTTTTGGAAAGGCTGTTATGTAGAAAAGAGGGCAGAATCGTTCAGAGTTGTTCCAGAAGACAGGACAAAGAACAGAGTTTTAAATTACAAGGAAGTAGATTTTGGTTGGACTTTAGAAAAAAAAATCCTAACCTTAAGAGCTGTTCATCAATGGGACAGACTGCCTTGGGAGGCGGTAGAATCTCCTGGTCAAGATAATTAAGGAAGCTTGAGAGCAGGGAAGGGGGTTGGACCAGATGATCTCTAAGGTCTCTTGCAACCCTTACATTCTATGTTCTATGTACTGTAAATGACACATTAAAACAGTGACTAATATAACAATGGTCTTCCCTCTGACCTTCTATGGAAATGTAAGTTGGACTTTGAAAAAGCAGGATAGGAAGAGTACTGATGATTTTGAACTTTGATATTGGAGAATATCGCGGACAGCCAAGAAAACAAACCGATGGATCATTGAACGCATCAGTCAGAGTTCTTACTCGAGGCACCGATGATCAGGCTCCAATTATCCTACTATGGACACATGATGCAAAGACTCAGCTCTCTGGAGAAGTCCATAATGTTAGGAAAGGTGAAAGGAAAGAGAAGAGGATGACTCAGCTACAGCAAGACCCAAAGGGCCAGGTTGGGATGGATCATCCTGGAGAAGGTCTATCTATGCGGCCTCTAAGAATCACCACCAACCCGATGGCACATAATCAAACCTGGAGAAGGTCTGAGAGGGTCTATCTGTGTGGTTGACTTCAATCAATCAGTGCAAAACCCCCACTCCTTTGAGAAGTCCATAATGCTGGGAAAGATGGAAGGGAAGAGGAGAAAACTAGCAATAAGGTGGATGGACTCAACCACAGTGGCGTTGGGGGCACCATTGGGTGACTTGAAGGGCCACGTTGGGAACTGGAGCTCCATCGATGTGGTTGGTAAGAGATGACAGGGACTTTATGGCACATAATCAATCAGTATGAAGACCCAGCTCTTTGGAGAAGGCTCTGATGGTGAGAAAGGTGGAAGGAAAGAGAAGAAGAGGATGCCCAGCAGCAAGGTGGAGGGACTCAGTTACAGAGGTGATGGGGGCACCCTTGAAAGACCTGAAGGACCAAGTTAGGGGGAGATCCTCCTGGGGGAAATCTATCTCTGTGGTCACTAGGAGTCGACATCAACTTGATGGGATGTAATCAGTCAATAGAAAAAGAACCAGAAGGAGACAGATTGGAAAGAAAAACCACATTTGGCCACCCAGACTCTGTGGGAATCCCACATTGATGAAGGCACTGGGTATGAATAAGCTTCACCACCACAAGAGGAAGAACAACTCTAAGAGCTTCTTCCTTGCCATGGGATGCAGGGCTCCAATTCCTCACTCTGGCTCCCAGGATGCGCCAGACACCGGAAGACTCCAGGCACTGTACTCCCCATTATCCAGGAAGTCCTTCGCGGCTACTTGGATGTGGTACGTTATGCCAGAACGGATCCCGGACAGAATAAAGAAGGTTTGCTCGATGGGCCTGGTCTGGGGGAAGCAAAGAAACATAATCTGAGCATATCTTAAAATACATACAGCAGTTTGCTAGAAAAAAATTAAAGGGAGGGAAATGTGTTACAGTATGGCAGGTGGAATCATGGGTCTATAGTCCAAACATATCTAGAAGACACCAGGTTGGATTAAAATCCTAGCCCAACCACGGGACAGAAATCTTAAGTAGCAAAGAAAAACTTGCTAAACTCTTTAAAAACAGTTCCAAACCTGGAGTATCAGTTTTAGTCTAGCAACATCTGGAAGCTGCATATTCTCCTCATTGAATTGGATGGTCAATAAGAGAGGACTGACTTCTCTAAAAGAAGACACGGTGAAACCACACTCTCTGGATCGTGCTGACTTTATCGAAAAGCTGCAGTGCAAATGCTGTCTGCCGTGTTTCTTATTTTCCAGGTAGGGATAGGATGCTCTGTTTCGGCAATCTGGTGTGGTAGCTCCTGTGATGGAATGGTATGGCGAAGGCCGCGCTCGGGGAGATAAGCATTTCCTTAGCCCCCAACAGGAGCGTGGGAAGGTTAAGAAGATGAGACTGGCACCACCCTAAGGAATTCGCAGTGCTTGCTTGCTGGCTTGGGGAGTTTAGATTCAGTGGTGAGGTTGATATCGGATTCAGCCCAAAGAACTCCACGAGACAGTACAGATACAGTTCTATTGCATTTACTAACTTCCGCCTACAAGACAGAATCTCGCCAGACTGAATCTAAACTCCCCAAGCCAGCAAGCAAGCACTGCGAATTCCTTAGGGTGGTGCCAGTCTCATCTTCTTAACCTCCCCACGCTCCTGTTGGGGGCTAAGGAAATGCTTATCTCCCCGAGCGCGGCCTTCGCCATACCATTCCATCACAGGAGCTACCACACCAGATTGC